GTGCCCTGACCAGGAATGGAACCGTGACTTCCTTCCTGGTTCTTAGGTTGACACAGAACCACCAAGCCACGCCTGCTGGGCAGATATGTCTGTTGTTTTAAGGCCCACAGTGTGTTGTCAAGTGTGTAAATACTATGAGCCAGGTAAGAACTTTGGTTATACTGTAGTTGTCTCTAGGGGCTGGGGTACCCAAGACTATTCTGGGGAATGAACCAGATCTCATTGACAACCCACCCACCTTAATCCCCTAATTCAATGGTCGGAAAACACAGATATTTACATCACAATTCATAACCGTAGCAAAATTACAATTATGAAGTAGCAACGAAAATAATTTTATGGTTGGGGGTCACCACAACATGAGGAACTGTATTAAAGGGTCGCGGCATAGAAAGGTTGAGAACCACTGGCTTAGCAGATATAGTTTCATTTCTACAAAATGAAAAGAATTCTTGGAGATGGAATGTGGTGATGGCCGCACAACAATGTGAATCTCCTAAATGCCAGTGAACTGCACACTTGAGAATGGTGAAAATGGCAAATCTTCCGTTCTACTTTACGGCACATTCACTCAGAACAGTTCTGAAGGGGAAAATAAGCCCCCAAAGAGCAACGTGTGAGAGGCTGATGATTCAAGTTCACAAATCAGAAGCCTGAAGTCTTTCTCCTTTCACCTGGCACATCTCTGAATCCATGAAAAACCAGTATATATGTGCGCTTCTACACATTGGGACAAAGTGTTAGGCTGTAAAGAATCTAAAAAAAGAGAGCTACCTTCTACTGGTGAAATCCAAGGGCTTCACTCAACTTCTGGGCAAGAGGATGAGGGCTGCTGACAGGATCCAATGAAGAGAGGAGTGAGTGAAACTTGTTTTCTTTCTGTTGGGACAAGTTCCACACGGCTGAGTCCTGGAGAGAAAAGGAAAGGAAAGTCCGTCCATTTCAAACCAGACAGGGAAAGATGAATATTCCCTCCTTGTTCTTTCACAGACCTGAGGTATCTGTATGTTTCTGCCAGTCACCCTTCTCTCTGCTTATCTATGTACTTTTAGGACACGGAAAGGCCCAGGCTGTGAATACATGGTGGGCACTGCGAAAGCCAATAGCATGCCTGTGAGCTTTAGCATATGCTGTTCCCTCTGTTCCATGGTGAGCTCCTCCCCATCCTTCAAGGCCTAGCTCAATTGTCACCGCTGTGAAACCCCTTCTCCATCCTTAAGGTTAGCAGCTTCCTTAGCAGCATTCTATCACTTTGCACGCTGGTTTATACCTTTCCTCCCTCATCTGTCTTGGCTAAGGTGACCAGACGTCCCGCTTTTCAACGATCTGTCCCGTGGGACAAATTGTTAAAAATCGGGACTGTCCCGCCAAAAGCGGGATGTCTGGTCACCTTAGTCTTGGCCCACTAGGCTGTGAGCCCCCTGGAGGGCCAGCAAAGAGGCTGTTAGGGAGTCTGGGTTGAACTGCGCTGCTGTGGCTGGTCTAAGAGACTTCACCTGGAGGGCAGCATGCTCTCCCGCTGACCTCCGAGCTGCTGCAGTGGGGCCCAAACAAGCCCGGGAGGGGGAGAGGGGAAGGGAGCTGCAGCTTGTAAGAGAGCAGCCAGGTGTGTCAGCTCACCTCTTCCTCCATTCCCTCACTCACAAGGCGCCGAATGCTGGCCACTACCAAGCAGAACCTGCATAAGGAGGAGCCCACCTCCCAGTGTGAGAAACAGACCTAGGAGAGCACTGCAGAAGTGCCTTTGAGCTCTGTGGAGGGTAACCCCAGAGCAAGAAGCCTGGTCCGGAAGGCAATCCCCGAGCTGAGCTCTCAAGGCCCAAAAGGAGTGAGTCAAGTGGACGGGGTGGGTGACCTAAAAGACATTCCATGGCCCATGGTGAGAATGATGAGGTAATGGCACAGAGCCAGCATGCCCTGGCAGTTATGACAAGTGTCATGAGATGAAGCAAGATTGGGAGCAAAGTCCTAGCTGGTTGAAGCATCATCCTGTACACCAAAAGGTTGTGGGTTGGATTTCCAGTCAGGGAGCATATGGGAGGCAACTGCACAATCAATCTCTCTCTCTTTCCCTCCTTCCTTCCCTTTCTCTCTCAAAACAAACAAACAAACAAACAAACAGTAACAAAACAAACCACATCCTTGACTGAGGATTGTAAAAAAATAAGATTGAGAGCAATATTAAGGAGTTAGTGAGGAAATGGGGGAGCCCTTGGAAGTTGTAAGCAGGGGTGAGTGTTAAGATCAAAAAGATCCCTCTGGCTGCGGTATGGAGAAGGGATTTTAGCCAAGTCTAAGGCTCCAGGCATGCTAAGTATATGGAATGACAAGAGCAAATCAGAGAAAAGAACTAATATTGCCTGAAAACCTGCATCCAGTTAGGGAGACAGTACTGTTCTCACTCAACAGAGGACAAACTGAGGCTCAGAGAGGTCAAGCCACTTGCCTGAAGTCACACAGCTGGTGCACAGTCAAGGCAGAACCTGTAGTTGTTGGTCAGTCTGCCACCTACTGGGAAGTAGGATGTGGAGGGACACGAAGTAAGAAAGACTAGCAGGGCAAAACTGGGCAGGAGGCTCAGATGCTAGGCTGAGTCTGGGCTTTACATTGTATCCAGGGGAACCACTGAAGGTTTAAAAGTATGGGGGTGGCTGAAACCGGTTTGGCTCAGTGGATAAAGCATTGATCTGCGGACTGAAAGGTCCCAGGTTCGATTCTGGTTAAGGGCATGTACCTTGGTTGCGGGCACATCCCCAGTAGGGGTGTGCAGGAGGCAGCTGGTTGATGTTTCTCTCTCATCGATGTTTCTAACTCTCTATCCCTCTCTGTAAAAAATCAATAAATATATATTTAAAAATAAATAAAAGTATGGGGGTGACTTAACCAGAGCTATACACTGGGAAGATTAACCCGATAGAACCGGGTAGACTAACTAGGTAAGAAGCAGGTAACGGGGGGATTACTCACCAGTTTTTCAACCGAGATTTACTGAGCACCTACTATGTGCCCCCTCACAGTACTGGCGTGCTGGTAGTGAACAAAACAAAGGTTCCTGCCTTCCAAGAGCTAACCTTCTGCTGGATGGGCAAAAAAGACAAAATAAATAAGTAAAAGGTACCATAGGTTAGAAGGTGATAAACACTGTGGGGGAAAAAAGTAGAGCAAGATGTGGGGTTTGGGTGTGCTGGGGGCTACAGGGCTAAAGAAGGAGCTTAGGGTGGCTCACTGAGAAGGTAATAGTGAAGCAAAGACGGGGGTGGGGGGCGTGGAGTAGGGGGAGAAGTGGACCAAGCAGGCAGAAGGGACGGCCGTAGCAAAAGTTCTAAGGTAGGAGTGTGCCTGTGCTTTTTCAGCCCAATAAGGAAGTCAGTGTCCCAGGCTGGAGAGAGGACGGGGTGTGTCCTGCCAGGCCTTGCGGACCGAGGTGAGAACTTGGACTTGGACTAGTTGGAAGGCCCACATTGGCAGTGGAGCAGCAGAGGTGGAAAAGAAGAAAAGAAAGAAAATGGCACTTAAGGGTAGAACTTAGAGGCTGGTTAATGTGGAGGGGACAGCAAAAAAAAAAAAAAAAAAAAAATCATATATGACCTGATCAAAATGTCTAGACCTGGTTCATGTTCAAAGGGGAAGAGGGAAAAGGACAGAAGGTGTGTAAACACTTTCATTTAAGGGATGCTAATACACCTCAGGCCTTTTTCGGTCTGAGAAACTTTTGCTCTGGGTCCTGCCTCCCTAAATACTGCCCCAGTGTCCGGAGGGGAAGCAGGTAAGGGCTCAAAGCCACATGGAGCCTTAGAGCTCTTAACACGGGGCTGATTGAGGAGGGCGGACCCGCAGGTTCAGCTCATCAGCTTCCCTTTGCACAAACCCGCCCCCTTCTACTCCTCCAAGCAGGCTTCACCCTTCCAAAACTCCTCTGTGACTTTACTCAGGAGAGTTGTCTCGCCTGGAATGCTTCTCCCTGCTTTCTATTGTCTGGATGTCTGTATTATGACGTTCTCTCCCTCTCATACTCACCCATATTTCCTCCCCTCCTCGGTATGTTCCAGGCCCCCAACCACCTTCCTGGGCTGCTTTAGCCAGGGAAGAACTCAAGTGATTCTCACTTGGAACCGTGTGTGTGTGTGTGTGTGTGTGTGTGTGTGTGTGTGTGTGTTTGAGTTGGGGGAGGGGATATTCTCAATGGGACACCTTCAATGAAAGCCTCAGCTGGATTCGGCTTCGAAGCCCCAGTCGTTCGAACCTGTGCGACCATGCTCGGCATGTCCCTTTTGGGTCTCCTTGTGAGTACCCTACACTCCCAACACAGAAGGTTCTCTCATCCATCCGTGTGAAGCCCTCTGACCCTAATTCAGTCTTAGGCCAGACTGAAAGCACAGACCAGGACCGCCCCACCCAGCTCCTAGCCATCCCGCCCAGTTCGCCAACACAAGGCAGCCTCCAAGGGAGAGGTTGCGACCCTTACCCGTCCGTAGACGTACCCCTTGGAAGTTTCAGCAGGCTGCAGCCAGCATCTACAGAGCTGGGGTCCCCGGCCGCCACCCTTTTCTTGTGGCCCGCGTGAGCCAAGGACAGGTGGAGGCTCCTTTAAGACCGGGACCCGCTCGGCAAGGCGCGCGCTCACCCGATCTGCGCGCGAGGCGTGGCCCTGCCCAATGAGGTCAGGTTTCCGCCACAATCGCTCCACTCCCAGACCTGGGCGGGGCCTTTGTCCGTTAGTCCCGCCCACCCAAGCCTTACGCCAATGGCAAGCGGCGGCGGCGAGGGCGTCACCAATGGGGAGCGGGGCTGCGCGCGTGGTGTGAGGGGAACTGCGCCCATTTACTGTGTGTACATTGGTTACCTTAACAACCCGGAGCGGAGTCGGTCGAGATGGTGAGTGCTGCCCTCTACCGCGCCGCTTTCCCAAAGGCAGAGCCTTTCCCAAGCCCTTCTCTGCCTTTCCCGCGCGGTTCTTGACTTCGGCACGCCCCTCCTCCCTGTGTTATCTTTCTCCTTAGGACCCGAAGAAACAGACTCCTAGCCCGGCCAGGTTCTCCTTCCTGCCTCCCCTTAACCCCCACCCGCCCCCCACCCACCCTCCCGGCGCTGCTGGCTTTCCCCGCAAACTGTCCCAGGGCAAAGAAGACGCGACTTCCTCTAAGGTCTGATCTCTCTTACCTCTGGCCTCCCGGACGCTTCTCAGTACCAAAGTTTCCGCACAGTGTTTGGGGGGAGGTTTATGATATTAATGCTCATTTTGAAATTTAAATTTAAATATAGGAGCTATTCCGGAGACGCTCTGACCTTTTGGGGAAGGCAGAGAGAGATGTGCCCTATGGATTGAGTTTTATTATTCGATATTGACACAGTGTACATCTTAACACTAATATTTAGCCAAATCTAGAAGTAATCAGAACGAATACTTAGAGGGAAGTGGAGTACCGCGAGTGGCTATTGTAAGGAAATTCTAGAATTCGAATTCAGAGAATGTGTATCATCTGTACAGTTATCCACACTTTGGTTCTTAGCTAGCTTCTGGTCCTTGCTTCTAGAAACAATAGTAAAAAAGAGAGAGGGATAGAGGTGCATGGAAAGATTGTTATTCCCAGTAAACCCTATTATCCCTCCAGTTAAGCAAAGCTTTGGGATTGGTTAGAATGGAGTATTTTAAAAGCATATACGGTTGTCTTTATTTTATGGAATATATGGGCTACTTTACATGATATTGTGCTTATGTGTTTGTAAAGCATCTAAAGGCCTCTGCCGTTAAGGAGGTCTTCATGGCATCACCATCATCATCATCATCATCTTTCCAGCGAAAAAGGTTGGGTACTAATCTGGAGCTTTCTAAGGAGCAGATACAGGAGATCCGTCAAGCTTTTGATCTCTTTGATACTGATGCAACTGGGACCATTGATGTTAAGGAAATTAAGGCAAGACCTGTACATTCCTGCTCTGCTGCCTTTCCTTTCCTGTGCCTCTTAGTCTTCTTTCCTTGTCACCACTCTCCTCCAGTTGTCCTTTTCTCCCTGAGAAAAGTAACAAGGAAGGAATACACTGCTGTTTCCCTATCTTTACTTCAAGTGTGATTCAATAAAATGCATGCAGATGCTGGATTAATGCTCCCAAAACTGTCATTTTTGCTCTTGCTATATTGACATGTATATATTGAGATATTCCTATTTTCATTGTAGGTGGTGATGAGAGCACTGGGATTTGAACCCAAGAAAGAAGAGATTACAAAGATGATAAGTGAAATTGACAAGGAAGAGACGGGAAAAATGAATTTCAATGACTTCTTGATTGTGGTAACTCAGAAAATGGTAAGTTAGCTTGTCAGGACCACAAAGTCACAGGAAAAGTCATGTTGCCCTCTGTAAAGTAGTGAAGGTACTACTGCTGTCACTTTTTTGCTATTGTCTTTCTTTAACTGGTATGTCAATACGGTAAACACAAGCAATAAAACCTACAGACACCAACAATATTACAGTATTTCACATTTTGACAAGATGCAGTTGCTCTATTGCCCCTAATTTTAACTGTACCCCTCTTCTATATTTTAAAAGCAAGTCCAATTTCTCTCTGGTTTGTATAGAAAGAATGTTTTAAGTGCAGTACTTTATTAGGTTCCCTTTTAGCCTCTGGGGTTTGTAATGTCATTGAATTTGTCCTCTTTTTCTACCCTGAATGATGTTTGATCTCCTAGGACCTATGTCACAAAGGCTGTCTCCAAGATCAAGCTATGATGTAGGGGAGGGCAGATGGATTATACAGTAATGAATAACTGCAGTGTTTCCCTACTCATGTATTTTATGTTCTACTTCTTAAGTGTGAGAAAGATAGCAAAGAAGAAATCCTGAAAGCTTTCAAGCTTTTTGATGATGATGAAACTGGGACCATATCATTCGACAATCTCAAACGTGTAGCCATGGAGTTGGGTGAGAACATCACTGATGAGGAGCTTCAGGTTTGTAATACAGGAGTCTGGAACCCAGAATTCCTGCTTGGAGCTCTGGGTGACTCTTCTGAGTTACATTTTGTCTAATGTGAGCTCCACTTTGAAGGAAAACTAGTGTTTTTTCTTGTCCCTCTGCTGACCACTTAATTTCCCTTTTGTAGTGTGACAAACCTAATCATCCTGTTCCCAGAAAAATACACACATGAACAGTTTTATTTTCAATGTTAGGCTTTAGGAATCCACTCGAGCTCCCTTCTAGGTGATATGACTTAGACAATTATCTATTCATGTAGAATTAGAAAAGTCTATTGCTTGGTCACATTTTATAGCTTCATTATGAATTCATCTAACCTGAATCCTTACTGTCATGCAGGAAATGATTGACGAAGCTGATGGGGATGGAGATGGGCAAGTCAATGAACAAGAATTCCTGCACATCATGAAAAAAACCACCTTTTACTGAGAGTATTCTCCCCTACTCTAAGCACATACAATTAGTTTTAGTGCCTGTTATTGTGTGAAACCTGGTTTTTGAGAACACAAATGTTTTTCCCCATTAACCTCGCTGTTATACTTAACAACCTCGCATCCATTTTCAACTTTTGCAAGTGTTCTTTGTGAAGTGACCTGCTGCTTCCTTTAATTCTCAAAAAAAAAAAAAAGAACAAGAGCGCATTAGAGCTTTCACTCACTTGCCATTCTACCTCATATTGTATTGTTTCGCTCTTGTCATTCAGTCCCACAGAAAGACTTCTCAGGAAAATACATGTTGTAACTTTGTCACCACAAGCAGCAGGCATATCTCTCTGATAGTTATGGTTTTCATTGACACCTTTCTCTTTGAAAAAATCCAGTGAGCTCTCTCACTTGCATTTGGTTGTGTTTTTCCTAGTTGTTTTGTCTTAAAATAAGGCATTTCTTACTTTGAGCTTTTGTTCTCTAAGAGTGGAGTTCTCTGGTCTTGACTAAGTTAATCTTCTAAACCATTGTGTTGAAGGCAGACTGGTAGATCTGAAACTCCTTACCAGCCTGTGGGCAGAAAATGAAATAATCCTTTGCTATTGGCATGAGTTGTTTCTTTGCATTGGGAACCTGTTGGTTAAAACCAGAAGAATCCATTTCATGTAAGCCTAAATGATGCCCTAAAAATGGTTTTGACAAAGTGTAAGGCCGAAAAAGTTATTGGCAAGTCATGTTTGGAGAAATCATGGAAATCCAGGTTTGGTTCTTATGACAGTAGGTTTAATTCAGCCAACCTCAAGTCAGTTATTTGCTTGATGGTTTCTTAGAATATTGGCATCAGGTTGCACTGGGTGACCTTGTTCAACTTCCTTCTGGTTCCACAAGGGATGACCGGTAAGAGAATCCCTGGCAGATGGCATTAAGGTCTCTGCTCTAGGCTGAAGGTGTGGAGCAGGAAGGCTGGCATGGAAAATGGACAAGGATGTAATGTTCCTTTATCCACACAGGGTGGGTAGAGAATGGATTTCAGACTGCTGAGGGCATCCTAGTTCCAAGATAGGGTTGCCTGATTTAGCTAATAAAAAAAGAAACATCTAGATCAATTTAAATTTCAAATCAACAAAATTGTTTTTAGTACAAGTATGTCCCATTTGGACTTTGCTGTTGTTTCTTTATTCATTGTTGATCTGAAATTTCATTTTAACTGAGTGTCCTATATTTCAACTAGCAACCCTAGGTGGGGAGCATGTTAAGAAGCATGGCTGTGGGCCTCATTCCCTGGACACTGGCATCCTGAAGGACTTGACCTCCAAACCCCCATAAATCTCCTGTGCCAAGCAGCCATTGTAAGATAGGTTGACAGTTGCTCAGTGGAGGGAATAGGGACAAAATAAGTGGATGAGGGACTACAGCAGAGAGTTTCAGGGGATTCAGGAAGATGGAGATACGGAGCTTGGGCCAGTGCATGTAGAGGCATAAAATAAAGCTGCAAGGGGGTGGGAGGATGTGGATGGAGAGAGGGCTGGGGTCAGTGTGTGTGGGGCAGGACCAAATGGATTGAGGAAGTGAGAAGGATGGGGAGGAAATGGTTGGAGAGGTCAGTGCAGGTGCAGATGATGTAGAAAGTTGTAGTGCAGTGGTTCCCAATGTGGGGTACACACCCTATGGGGGGCAATTTGAGTTTTAAGGAGGGCAGTTTGAGAATGTGTTATTAACTGAAATTTTTGCATTTCTTATGGTTCTAGGGGCCTCATATGCAGTATATAAATATATATATTGTGAAGTTTATGCATTTCACTTTATTATATGTTTTGAAACTTTATTTGCTATTTTTCATATCACTTCATATTAATATTTAGCAATTTCTTAGTGATTTCTTCCTCAGTACTTCAACTGTCCTTTTGTTCCTTTATTTTTCTTTTTCATGGATGCCATGTTTTTTATTTATTTATTTTTAAACCATTTTTTAAAATATATTTTATTGATTTTTTTACAGAGAGGAAGGGAGAGAGATAGAGAGCCAGAAACGTCGATGAGAGAGAAACATCGACCAGCCGCCTCCTGCACACCACCCACCGGGGATGTGCCCGCAGCCAACATACATGCCCTTGACCGGAATCAAACCCGGGACCCTTCAGTCCGCAGACCGATGCTCTACCACTGAGCCAAACCGGTTTCGGCAATGTTTTTTATTATTTTATTTTTTAAAATATATATTTGATTTTTTACAGAGAGGAAGAGACAGAGATAGAGATTAGAAACATCGATCAGCTGTCTCCTGCACACCCCCTACTGGGGATGTGCCCGCAACCCAGGTACATGCCCTTGACCGGAATTGAACCTGGGACACTTCAGTCAGCAGGCCAACACTCTATCCATGAGCCAAACTGGTTAGGGCGGATGCCATATTTTTAGAAGCTTGCTTAGACAAAGTTAATGGCCTTTTAGGCTTCCTCCATGTGAATAGGGGTTCACTTTTTGAATAATAAGAATTATATGTCACAGGGGAGCATCAGGATTCTAGAGATGCTTAGATGGGTCATGGCCAAAGAAAGGTTGGGAACCACTATTGTAGAGTGAGTTAAGGGTGCTGGTGAGGGAAGGGAGCAGAGGTCATTTCATGTGAGACTGGACAAGAGATGTCAGGGAGATGGGGGCAGAAAAATAGAAGTTAGTTTCTGTGCAGCTGGACCAGGGAGTTCTAAAGGGGAGTGGTTGGGTAAAATCTGGATATGTATGGAAGGGTGGGTAGGTAGGGGAAATCAGTGTAGAACAACTCATGGGGATTGTTTATTAAGCTGAAGGAGGCAGATGTGATGAGCATATAGAGAGAGAGGGAATAGGGGTCAGCACTTGTGGGTGGACTAGAGAGTTGTAGGGGGCGTAAGGTGGAATGGGATGGAGAGGTAGCAGAGTTCAGTTTAATTAGGGGTGGGGAGTGAGATGGGAGTGAGAAGTGGAGGGACTGAAGTGATCTATGTAAGCAGAAAAGAGTGACTGAGGGAGGGGGAGGAAAAGAGGGCAGAAATTAGTTCATGTGCAGATGAACCAGAGCTTTAGGGACTTTGGGGGTGATAGGGAGGAGGAGAGCAGTTTTTAGTTCACTCAGCCTGAACAGAGAGCTGCTGTAGGATGGGGGTGATGGGAGGGGAAGGGTACAGAGGTCAGTTCATGTTGGACTGTACCAGAGAGCTTTAGGGTAGTGTAAGTGGGATTTTGACACAGGGAACAGACATCTGTTTATGGGAGGATGAACCAGATAGCTCTATGGGAGTTGTGGGTAGGGGGAGAGGAGGGAGGAAAGGTGCCTTCATTTGGGGTTTGACCAGAGAGAGATGCAGGTGTAATTGAGGAGAATGAAAGTAGTTGGTTCCTGTGAGTGGGATAGAGAAGTATATGCACATGGGAGATATGGAGAGCAAGAGGGGGCATTTCATGTTAGGCTGGGTATTGGAAAGGAAAGGGAGCCAAAGTTAGTTGCTATAAGATGAACTAGAAAGAGTCATAGTGAAATGGCAGGAATGTGGATGGAGACGTTCCTTCATATAAAGCTGGAGTATAGAGGTATAGGGGGTGTAGGGACGGGGATGGAGAGGGAGATGGAGTCAGTTCCTATGAGGATGTAGAGAGATGGAGGGAATGGGAACTTTAGGAGGGGGTGCAATAAATGAGGAAGGAGAAGAAGTCAGTTCCTCTGGGGCCTTTTGGTCCTCCCTAGTAACTCAGGGACATATCAAGCTTCCTTAGATGAACTCTGATGGATTAGTCTTTTCTTTGCTATAAAATGTTTCAATTGCTAGGAACAGCTGGATTTCTTGGTAGTCATATTCAGGCTTTGAGTTAAGTAGATTCTGTCTAAGGAAGTTGTTTAAAGAAGGGGGATAGCTCAGATCCTGTCCTTACAGGCATGGAATTGCTGCTGGACCCAGACCATTGACTGGACACTAAAGGGTGGAAATGCACATTGACTGACCTAGGGGGCCCTCTTGAGGTTCTTTCACCCTTTATCAGATATTAAATTCTTGGTTTTAAAAAAATATATATTTTATTGATTTTTTACAGAGAGGAAGGGAGAGGGATAGAGAGCTAGAAACATCGATGAGAGAGAAACACTGACCAGCTGCCTCCTGCACACCTCCTACCAGGGATGTGCCCGCAACCAAGGTACATGCCCTTGACCAGAATCGAACCTGGGACCTTTCAGTCCACAGACCGACGCTCTATCCACTGAGCCAAACTGGTTTCAGCTAAATTCTTGGTTTTGTTACAGTTTTAAATACTAGGATTTTTGGCAGCACACTGAAAGGGAGTAAGACATTCCAAACAACACTTTACTGATGGTTACAACTCTGTCAGACCTCCATAGAAAACAGCCACTAGTCATCCCTCTACACAGTCACTCTTTGGTTTGATTAGAACTGCTTGCTCCCAAATGGCCCTCCCTCATGATGCCAAGTTTCCCCAAAAATCCAGGAGCTACCTTTTTCTTTGAGCCCTTTAGGACCATTATCATAAATATCTTACAGCAAGTAGCTCCCTCCATTCCATGTCTCATGACCAGCTCAGTTCACCACCCTATATTCTAGAAGCTGCTGGAATATTGCGCATCTTCAATTGTAGCAAAAGTAAGCAGTCTGCATTGAGTGCAATTGTGAAGCAGTGACAGTATCCTAGTAATGATATCAGCAGTGCCTGAAACTCTCACAGGGGCTCAGGACCAATTTCTTAAAACATTGCCATAGGAACTTGACGTATCTGGAAGCCAACTCACCTCTTTTCTAGCTTTTACCTGATGACCCCGAGACTTCTCTTCAGAGCTCTAGAAGCCAACTTACCTCTTTTCTTTCTGATTGCTACAGTTTTCTTAATCTGCTTTCTCTGCCCTGTCTTTTCCCAAAATGATCTGTGGTACTATCTTCCTCATGCCATTACCTTGCTCAGGAAGGAGCCTCGCCATCAGATTAAGTCATACTTGGTTCAAATTCCACTCTTCTGTTCAGTAGCTGTGGACTTGGGGGGCATGACTTGAGCCCCAGTTTCCTCATCTAGAAAACAAGGGTGTTGTGTGTAGGGAGCTAAAAATGTTGGGTGCGTAGGGTAGTGCCAGATACCTGATGGACAAGCAATGGGTGATGCTCCCACCACAGCCTCATGTAGAGGCCATCCACCCTTCTTTGTTACCAGTTATCACTGTCCATTTGCC